CTGCAGATGTGGAACCCGCATATATGGAGAGCTGACTGTATTATTTACATAAGATTTTGTGAGCTTATATATGCACATTTGCAAAATCCTCACATTCTCTTCTTTGTTGAAAATGTTAATTCTCTACTAGAATTTTGCATATAATTTTATTTATACATGCTGTTCTTTATTCAACTAGTATCCCATCTTGTCATCTCATGTTGTTTTGGTGCTCCATGATAAATTATATTCTTTGTGGCAAGAAAAGCCACAAAGATAAAAATCTATCAGTCAAAAAGGATGAGTTGCACATAGGCCAGGTAAGCAGTGTCAGGGCACTTACTTTAGGTACCTCCCTTGTGAGTTGTACAGAGCAAGCTTCTGAATTGAATTGTCTTATTATCTACTATATCACTGCCAATCAGCGCTGCTGTCTTTTCAATTACTGCAGCCATGTATCACTATTGCTCAGATTTTAATATGTGAGGTACTCAACTATCTGATACACATGTGTTTAGCTGTTACCATAAATGTTGATGGACGTGGAGCCATTCCCCTTGGCCTATCTGTCTAGTCCCCATGATATATGAACATCTTCGTATTAATAGATCTTAGAAAATAATGTCTTCTATACCTCCCACAGTAACAGATAGCTCCTAAGTTTTTAAGTCACTTTACATGCTACTGATGACTAGGATATTCAGAACACGATTTGCTGGAAGAAAAGAAATAGATATAAGACCTAGTTTTGCATTTGGCTCTGTCTTATGAGCCTCTGTTTTATAGCATATAAAATGAGGATAATAATCACTATATCATAGGGTTGTCATACAGATTAAATAAGATAATGTAGAGGAAAGATCTATAAGTTATAAAGTACTCTACAGATACTTGTTAGTATCAAAGTAATTATAGATTCTTAAGAGTGTTAAATACAAAGCCCTACCTAAGAATTTATATACAGTAAATGGAATTTCAATGCCACACACAACGGATACTAGTGGTGGCCTAATAAGAAAATAAATACACAAGTCTGTTCTCATCCTACTCCCTTTTTATTATAAGACTTAGAATTTGTTTGGAATCTTTCATGTCACATAAATAAAAGAATGATTCTTCTGACATATATTTACAAATAATTTCTTCATCCAGTATCAAAGAATACTAAAAGAAATTCACCTCAATTTTAATTCAATTTTATTTTTTCACCTAAACTGTACAGTTGTCCAGCTGTGTTCTTTGTTTTCATGGATCCTTAATTCATTTAATGAGGCTAGAGCCATATCTTTGTGGTATTTTCCTCTATGCCCTTTGTATGATAACATTGAGCTACGTTTGTGAGAATCTTTGCCAAATCCAGCAAAAACTTCATTGTATAGCGCCAGAAAAGAGAAAAATGGCACACAGTAGCATCTTTCTTTTTCCAATAACAGTGTCAGCAATTAACAAATGTAATCAGGCAAACTAAGCAAAGCTTAGAGAGTAAAGGATAGAGTCTCTTTGAGATTTAGGATGTTACAAATGCTTTTAAAGTGGTCAACAAAAACAGACAAAATGCTATCACAAGCTTCTGTGTTGCTAAAGCAGTATTCTTTGAAGCACTTCCCTTGTCTCATCCCCAGGATGGAAACATGCCCATCTTTGCAGATTACATTATCATGCCTGTTCTTTAACAGGAACTACAGTAGACTATTCAACAACACAGATTTGAACTGCACATGTCCACTTATATACAGATTTTCTGCCAACCCTGCCATCCAAGACAGCAAGATCAGTTCCTTCTCTTCCTCCTCCTCCTCAGCCTGAAATGTAAAGACAATGAGGATAAAGACTTTTATGATGAACCACTTCATTTGATGACTAGTAAATATATTTTCTCTTATGATTTTCTTAATAACATTTACTTTTCTCTAGCTTACTCTGTTGTAAGAATACAGTATATAATACAAATAACACACAAAATAGGTATTTATTAACTATTTAGGTTATTGGTAAGGCTTCTGGTCAACAGTAGGCTATTAGTAAAGTTTTGGGGGAGTCAAAAGGTATACTTGGATTTTTTACTGTATGGGGGGTCAGTACCCCTAAAACCCATATTGTTGAAGGACCAACTGTTTATTAATTGCCTTACCATTTGAACAAATACTTGCTGAGGCATCTTTTAAAGTAAGCACCTAATGATCCCTTTGCTAGTAACTTGGTTAGTCTGAAAAGGAAAAGAGGAAACAAGAATGGGTTGCCTTGTCTCAGTTCTCTTCTCCATATGGCTGTGGTGGTATCCAACAACCAGAATATTCTCCAAATCTCCCTGAATCTTGGAATTGTGTGAGGACAAACCCATGATGAGCTACTCTGTAAGCTTCTACTGACAGCTGATTTGGGGGCAAGACATGACATGAATTAGTCCCAGAACTTTGACTAGTTTATTTTTTAAAAATTTATTTATTTTTAAAATTTCTAATCCATCAGAGATTAACATCTTTTGTGAAGGTTTGGAAAGAATCAGAATCCTGAGGGGTAATAAATTTCCAAGGGAATATCTGGAGAAAACAGGAGCAAAAGCTGACTCAAGAAGGTTTGGAAAGGTATTTTCCATGACAGACCCATAACCTTTGGGGCTGCCTACCAGGACCCATACAAGGGTATGCGCAAGCAAGCTGTAGCATAAGGAGATTACTGTTGACCAGAAGCCTTACCAATAACCTAAATAGTTAATTAATACCTATTTCATATGTTATTTGTATTATATACTGTATTCTTACAATAAAGTAAGCTAGAGAAAAGTAAATGTTATTAAGAAAATCATGAGAGAAAATATATTTGCTATTTATCAAGTGAAGTGGATCATCATAAAAGTCTTTATCCTCATTGTCTTCACATTTCATAGGCTGAGGAGGAGGAGGAAGAGAAGGAACTGATCTTTCTGTCTTTGATTGCAGGGGTGGCAGAAAATTACTCAGTTACTTGCAAACCCCTAGTCCCAGCCCTGCTGTCTACAGAAAAGCATCTGATCAAATAACTTCGTTTTGACCATTGAAAGAACTAATGAAGATATACTTATTCAATAAGGACAACAATGAACAGATACCATTGCTTGATTCCATTATACTTTAGAGCTCTCAAAACCCTGTTTTTTAAATTTTTTTATTGACAGAGTCTTGCTCTGTCACCTGGGCTAGTAAGTCTTTCTCTGTCACTTGGGCTAGAGTGCCATGGCAACACCCTAGCTCACAGCAACCTCAAAGTCCTGGGTTCAAGTGATCCTCCTGAGTATCTGGGACTACAGGTATGTACCACCATGCCTGGCTAATTTTTTTTCTATTTTTAGTAGAGACAGGGTCTTGTTCTTACTCAGGCTGGTCTCAAACTCCTGACTTCAAGTGATCCTCCTGCCTCGGCCTCCCAGAATGCTAGGATTACAGGCGTGAGCCACCACACTCAGCCTCAAAACACTTTCAAATGTATTATCACATTATGCCAACCACAACTTTCTGAGGCTAGAAGTACAGAATGTATTAATCCTACCTCAAATATAAACAAACAAGTTTAGGGAGGCTCTAGGATTTGATCAATGTAGTAGGGGTAGAACTTGAATTCAGGCCTTCTGACTTTGTGTCCAGTATTCTGCTATCTATATTATATCACATCCAATCTTCCTCTGAGGGCCTTCATAGCACTCTGATTTTATGATTGTGAAAAAATAAATAAAATTAAAAAGCTATTGGAGCCTCTAAAACACTTAAAGCCCTGAGAGAGATGTGACTGTGATCTAAGTAATGTAACATATTTTGTAATTCTGCTTAGATTATAGCTTAACTCTTTTGCTCATTGTTCTTGTTTGTAAATGACTAGGAAAAACCAGAGAACAGACTTCCCCCTTCCAGTCACTGATCTTTGTTATAGATTAACTGCCTTCTTTATTGTCCTGTACCTAACTCAGACCAGACAGCACCTTGAACAGGGACCCCATGATGGTTAAATCTTCAGTGTGGAATGTTAAATATACCTTTTCCGAAAGAGAAGGACCACCTTGACTCATCAGATTGTTATAACTATGCATTAAGCCTTACACAGAAAGATGTTGAAATTCTGTTAAAATTCCCTAAATTTTGTCTTTATAAGTGATTCTAAACTTCTACACTTTGGAACACTGACTTCCATTCTTTGGAATCTGTGCTTCCCGGGCAGGCCTGTCCTCAACCTTTGTGCTTCAATAAACTCTCTTTAAACTAGATTCTGACCCTTTAAATCAGGGGTCCTCAAACTTTTTAAACAGGGGGCCAGTTCACTGTCCCTCAGACCATTGGAGAGTATGCACTGTGGGCCCTGGATAAGTTGGCTGCTAAGCAGGACAGGCAGTGGTGGCAAAAACACCCAGAGGGCCAGATAAATGTGCTAGGCAGCCCGCATGTGGCCCGCGGGCCATAGTTTGAGGACGCCTGCTTTAGATTATTTTAGGTTGACATGATCAACATTGATTAGAATTATTTATGAAGTCACCATGGCTGCTGTTTAATATTAACAATGAAATGACCTTAAATTTGTCTATTATCCACTGTCCACTGCCCATAAATAGTCTTATGAGAAAGTAAAAATAAACACAAGGAATTCATCTAATAGTTCTTAATGTTGGACTTTAACATTTTAAGGGAAATGAAAACTGTTTACAAATCAACTTCACAGATGAATTTTTTACTGTCATTCGTTGCATAGTAGAATAGTGCTGTGTTTGTTTGTTTAATGTTACTATGTACAAAACTTAGGAACCATAAGAAGAGTTATAAAGAAACTGGGTTTTGGCCAGGTCTATGTACTATCAACTTTGAGCTATCTGACCCAGTGAGCAATGTGTGGTTGTTGGTCTTTCTCTACATAGCCCTGCCTCAGACAAAAACTTTCTAACACTAATAAGAAATATAATTTAAATGTTCACAAAAATACTATGAGTTGCAAATTTGATTCCCTGGCTACAGTGGCTATGGAGAGAGTCTAAATTACTAAAAAGGAAAAAAGAAACTTACCCCTCCCCATGTTTTCTGGTGGTCTCCAACAGGTCCCTGGATGATGATTCTCTATACAAAACAGAGCACATATACATGGTCAGATTCACAGAGGCTGAGTCACTACATCAGATATGCTCCATTACAGCTGATGTGGTCAATGTGAGCATTTCATTTCACAGTGTTCCAATCTTGCTCTCTTACACAAATGTTTTCTCTACCATAAAGAGGTATCTAACCTTGGGAGACAGAAACACAGTATTTTGGAAGCATAGGCTCTATATCAACTTACCATAACCTTCTTTATCTGATATTAGTTTCTGCCCCTGCCAACTTAAAATCATCATATTCATCATATGCTTATCTCTTAGGAAGCCAGTGATATCAACAAAAAATGGCAAACAAAAATGCCACAAGGTCCAATGTTAATAACCAGGTTAGCATGTTATTAGCTTGTTTGTCCCTGGCTTTCCTTCAATGGCATTCTGTTGCAAATCTAATACACCTTAAAGTATAAAGTTTTCCTGAATGGTGTCAAACAACAGCACCCCTACTCAAATTATCCCTGAGGCAAAGCAGCCCACAGAGTTATTTCCAATAAACAGTATGAATCAATGACCATGAACTAATGACAACAGAACCTTTGGAGAAACAAAAAAATACATTACAATTGCAGAGGAAGGGTGTGTATGGGGGAGTAGCAATTCTGTTTTTAAAAGATGAAAACAACATATATATACACAGAAGCTAATTCATACTGTATCATTTCATTTTCTTACAGGGTTAAATCATAGAGCTACCACACATTTATTATTCACTTGTTCCTAATATAAAACTAAACACCTGAGAGGTAATACTGTAAGACATAGTCTATCAGTCCATAAGGAATTTATAAACTACTTGAAGCTATGCAGAGACAATTTAGGAATAAATATCAGATTGAAACCTGATAACCAGGTGTGTAACACTGGAAAATCATTTTCTATCTCAAATTCTTTGCAAAGGGAAGGGCTGAACTATGTTTTTCCCAAATTACCCTTCACAGGATGGTAAAAGGTGTATTATCCAAAAACAGGACTCAATGATCAAATAAATGTAGAAAATGCTGATTTAAGGTTAAAGGGTTTTCAGAGCCTTTAAAAATGCTAATAAGCAATGTGACAAAAGTACAATCTCAAAGTATTTGGCTACATAGTCCTTTTTGTAAGCAATCAACATTTCTCAGGAGTCTTACTCTTTGGAGTTCATTTTGGGAAACTGGACAAGATAACTGCTAAAGCCTTTTGTAGCTCTGAAATTCTATTATTTTCCAATAAGATATGAATTATATGGAACAAAGTTAACATAAAGTGAATCAAGAAAGAAATCAAGGAGGCTAGATATTCAGAGAATTTTGGAGCTGAAAGTAACTTTAGAAATCATCTAATGATTTCTCATCAATCTACCTTTTTTGAAAGCAGCAGACAGGCCTCAAAAAATCGTATGCAGATCACCAGTATATAAAATGGGTTAGGGAAGAATTCTTCAAGAGGAATTGGGGTGGAGGGCTATAGTCCCACCCACTGGAATTTCTCCTTGAGGCAGCCTGGATATACCTCAGCAGCAACCCAGCACTATAGGAAATAGGAAACAGTTTGAAATCCAGTGACCCCTGATGAAGCTATTCTGGGAATAGGAAAGAGCTATAACTATTACACCTTTACACAAGAAGGTCCTCGTCCTTCCCAACTATCATCCCAATTTTAACTGTAACTCCTCAAATCAGATAAAATAATTATTATGTAAATATAACTGTAAAACCTTTCTTACTCCAGTAAATACCAAAAGAAAGTCACTATATTACAATGTAATCCATGTACAAATAAGAAGCCACGAAAGAGTTAAGCAGGGAAGAGATATAGGAAAATTGGGATTTTAAGAAAGGAGATTTGAGGTGTGAGAGTGGTTTGGCCAGTGATATCAGAGATGCTAGGTAAATCTGGCAGGACTTCTTGTAATTTATTTCTCGTTTATTCTTCAATATTTAATAGTCTTTTTGAAAAGAATCAAGCCTATATCAGCTGTGTTAGGGGGAACCACAAAGGAAAGGGCTGTCAGGCATGGGCCAACATTTTCAAAGAGGAATTGCCTCTCCAGAGGTCAGCATGGTGGAGACAACAGGCATCATTAGAGGCAGCTATCTTTCAGGGTAAGATAAAACTAAGGAGGCAAAAATCAATACTACCTGTCAGTCATTTCACCTAGCATTCCAGTAATAAACCTCCAAAGATCAGCATCTTATTTTAAAGAAGATGGTTTCGTTACAGAGATATGGGGCTCAAGGCCTACTATCTATATCACCCCATACCTCAAACTCCCCCAAGTCCCCAGGTTACCTCCCTGCTTCTGTTGTCCTGGTCTTTCCACTCTGATCCCCTGCTGCTCTACTTTCTAGTCCTTTTTTTCAGCTTGTGTGTGTGTGTGTGTGTGTGTGTGTGTGTGTGTGTGTGTGTGTGTGTGTGTGTTAGTTTTATACTTCTCTAAGCAGGAGTATTTGTCAATCTTAATTCCCAGTCAGGTCCTCATCCAAAACTAAATAATACTTCTAAGGCAATGGCAACACACTTAAAAACAACAACAACAAAGCAGCTTTTAGCTAGATATTAGGAAATCTAAATAAAATTAGTCACTATCCCATGTATCTACCCAGCCTGGCATTAAATACCCTCTACAACGAGGTTTCACCTTCCTTAATAGTTATACTATATTCCTGCCAAACCAGTCTCTATTCATCCCTTAAATATGCTTTGAACTGTTCCAGTTCTACGTCTCTGCTCTTTTCCTCTATATGATCTACTTCTATAAAAATTCCGTTCATCCTTCAATATCAGTAGTGATGCCTTCCCTCATTACCTGAGCAGGAAGTAGTCTCTTTTTCCTTTGAACTCTCATATAATATGGAACTTGTGTACTACCTCATACAGATGTTCATACTTTATAGTGTCTACCGGACTGTCTAATTATCAGAGGTTAAGAAATTTGTCTTCTATAACTATATCAAGCCTGTGCAAGGCTCTAGCTCATTCCCAATAAGGGTTCTAGTGGCCTACACAAACCAGACTTAAGGGAACTGCCTTATCATAAATAGTATACAACAAATACCAACTGAATCTTTGAAGGCTTTGAGGGAAGATTAAATGAAAACAGTTTTAAAGTTCTTGATAACAGTAAGCAGCATCTATGAGGATGCAAATAAAAATTTGGTGTTTTCCCCCCAAAATGTCTTGGTTCCATCTGACTTTTGTTTATTTTCTAGTTGGTCAATCTGGCTCAATATATTAAGTATAACTATTACTATTTAAGACAGGGGTAGTATAATGTATATTTTATGAGCTGAACTTTTTAAATTAAAATTTGATTTTTAAGTTTTAGCTTCAGCTGGATTAACTATTTAAGTTTGGAATGTGTACCACCCAATTCTTTAAGAGCTTCCTTTGCCATTTTTTATGTCCCTTACCTGCACTTACCCTTCTTTTCCCAGCCGCCTGTGATAATAGCCTGGAGACTCCTATTCCTGGTAGTTATCCTTCTTCCAGTAATCCTCTGAGATTCAATTATATCTAGCTCTTTATTAGTTTCGAAACACTGCAGGCTACATTTTAATTTGCAGAGAAGCACTTCTATGTTGTCTTTACTTTTCAGCCACATGGCTCTCTCATGGTTGATTAGGCAGCTCAATCACTTCACTGTCATGCACTGTGCTTAGAGGCACCATTACTATAATCTCTAGCCACCCTACTTAAGGCTTTGACAGTCCTAGCCTCCTACTCTTCCCCAGACCCCAAGGCACTTCTAATTTTTAAGGGCAAGAGGACCTAAGGTTCCTGTGGCATGCTCTAGAGATGAAGTGCTCCCTGGAGTCCATTCCCTCCTATGGTGTCTCTTAAAGCCACAGCTCTCTTTAGCTGCCTAAAGGCTCTTCTGTGTGAAAGGTTTATTCTACTAGGCCTCTGGGAGCTTCACCTCTGCATTTATTCCACTTCTACATCCTTTAAATAATAAAGATTCAATTGGTATTTGATGTAGATCTATTATAATAAGGCAGTTTCACTTATGTGATCTTATCAGTGCTTGCAACAACCCTACTACTTCTTGATAAGTGATAAAACTAAATTTCAGAGAAATTGACTTACTCTTCTTCACATAGCTAGTAAGTAGGAGCATCCCAGGATTTTTTTAACTTATCAATATATTCATACCAAAAGTGCTAACATTAAAACTCAATGACTTTTCACAAACACGCCTGTGTAACTGGCAACTAGATCAAGATTCAGAATACATTTCAGGATTTTAAGCTAAGGTTTCTGACACCAAGTCCAGTGCTCTTTCACTCACATATGTAGTCATTCAACAAATATTTACTTACTTTTTATTACATTTCAACTATTTTGCTAAACATTGGGCTGTTAGCAAATAAGACATCTGTGATCCCTGCTCTAATAAGAGCTTAGAATCTATGGGGGAGCCATATTAGTTTGTTTAATTATAAATAAAGGAACTTATGGTATTAGAGGAATTTAAATAAATTCAAAGTATGATTTCATCATGGCAAGCAAGAAAGAAGGTTGGTGACGGAGATAAATGGTCAAACCATACAAGGCTTTACTGGCTGGTCAAGCATTTGGATTTCATTCTAAATGTAGTGGGAATCATTAAGCAATGCCCCTGCATTCATAAAACAACCTATTCCCTAAGAGCTTGCTTAATTCTTCAATTACTCTAACCTTTAGGTACTTCATATGTGCCATTCACTTCACCAGGCCCATTACCTCAAATGTATAAAAACAATAATTCATATAAAACCTTGAGATATAGGTATATCATATGCAGATTTACATGTTAAGTATTTATAAATTAATAAATTATAAAACTATAACATATTACCAAATACTTTTAAAAATTACTGTAAATAGCTAGATGCTGTCCCTCAGTGCTATCTATACTAGGCAATAGTACCAAAATGCTGTCAGGTATTGCTGAATTTCAGGGATCCTTTCCAAATCTCTAGAGTAAAGCTAGGCAAGTTATACAGA